TGTGTCCAAGTAAAATGAAATACTTGATGCCTTTAATCTTTTCTCCATTTATCATGATCTTGCCTTTTGGCCCACTTGTGAGGATATTATATTCTTTATATTGAGGTATAACCCATACTAAAGTCTCTTATCTTCAGGAAGTGTTTCAAGGAATCACAGAAAACTTTGTTGCTTATGCAGAACCTATAGATAAAATAAGAGCAGAGTAAGGGGATATTGCATGGTTTAGTATTAGAAAAGTATGTATAGGCTTGTTTCCTTTTACCATACCATTTCAACTTGCAGAGGCTTTGTGGTGTAATTGCATTGCTACCCCAAAGGCCAGTTGTATTCTACCTTCTGCTCTGTTAGAGAAAGATGGTCAATCTCTTCCTGTTGTAATTGACAGCCTTAGAAACCTGACAGTGTGTGCTACGAGGTGGAACTGACTCGATGGCTATGAGTTTCTCTTTTTTAGGAAATTTAATTTCTATGCGGAACAAATAATTTAAAAAGCTGGATGTCTGTCTGTGTTTCATTGACTATGCAAAGGCATTTGACTGGGTGAATCACAACGAATTGTGGCTAATCTTGAGAAGAATGGGGATCCCAGAGAACCTGTTTGTGCTCATGTGAAACCTGTTCTTGGACCAGGAGGCAGTCATCAGAACAGAACAAGAAAACACTGCATGGTTCAAAATGAGGAAAGGAGTGCATCAGGGATGCATTCTGTTTCTGTACTTTTCAATCTATAAGTGAAACAGATCATTCAGGAGGCTGATCTTTATGAGGAGAAATGTGATGGCATCAAGATTAGAAGACTCATCAACAACCTGCATTATGCAGTTGATACAACCTGGATTGCAGAAACTGAGGAGGTCTTGATGCGTCTGTTGAAGAAAGTCAAGGACTAGAGTCTTCAATGTGGATTGAAGCTCAGTATCAAGAAAACAAAATTCTCACCACTGAGCCAATGAGCACCATGATAGATAGAGAAGAGTTTGAGATTGTTAATGATTTTAGTTTGCTTAGTTCTACTATCAACACTTTTAGAACCAGCAGTCAGAAAATCAAAAGATGAATTGGATTAGGAAAGTCTACCATTTAGGGAAATACAGAGATGTCAGTCTGGAGACTAAAGTGCACCTGATCCAAGCTATTGTCTTAGCAGTTACTTGCTATGCATCAGAAAGCTGGAGAATGAATAAGGATGACAGAAAAAGAATCAATGTCTTTGAGTTGTGGTGCTTGAAAAGAGTATTGAACATACCATGGACTGCCAAGAGAACAAATAGGTCTCTTTTGGAGAGGGTGAAACCAGCTCACCCTCTCTCGCATACTTTGGACATGTTGCCAGAAAGGATCCAATCCTTGGAGAAGCACATCATGCTTAGAAGCCTGGAGAGACAATGCAGGAGAGAAAGACCCTGGATGAGATGGATTGACTTAGTGATTGGGATAATAGGGGCAGGTGTGTGAGAGATAGTGAGATTGGCTCAGGATAGGGCAGAATTCAGAGCTGTTGTGCACAGGGTCACTATGAGTCACAGGTGACTTTGACAGTACATAATCACAACAATAAATCAAACCTAGCAGTTTCTATAGGACCAATAAGCCAAGCTTTTTTGTTTCACATTTCCCCCAACTCTATCCAGGATTTTCTATTATGATTCCTTCTAGAGTGATCAGCAGTGGTAGTTTCTCAAAGTCCATTAGTCCTTTGTACTTTCTATTTCTGTTTGGGATATTTCTGAATATCCCACAGACTGCCAAAAGAACAAAAATATCTTGGAGAAAGCGTAACCACAGTGCTCCCTAAATTTGTCTAGCATGCTTCAGGAATGTTATTTGTTGTTGTTGTTCTGTACCATTGAGTCAGAACTGACCCATAGCTGACCCTGCAGTGGGTTTTCAGAGGCAGTTTAATTGCACAGGAGGAGACTGGCCACCTTTCTCTCCTGGAGTGGCTGGTGGATTTGAACTGTGTACCTGCAGGATTACAGCACAGTTCCTTATCAGTAGGCCACTGGTTTGAGCTCAGGCATGTTGTTAGGAGAGGCTATTCCCTGGAGAGGAACATTGTACTTGGGAAGGTGGAAGGTCAGTGAAAGAGAGGAAGACCCTCAGTGAGATGGATTGATGCAGTGGCTACAGTAATTGGCTCAGGTGTGTCAGGAATGATGTAGATGGTGCAGATTAGGCCTCAGTTCAGATCCATTGTTAATAGTAACACTGTGAGTCATACATGATCCAATGGCACCTAATAACAGCAACAATATGAGTTAAGCGATATCTGTAGTCTTTTTCACGTCTTGTATCCATTTGTCTGCCTATATATCTGTTTATATGTTAAGATTTATTATTAGTGATATTGCAGGGTTATGTATGTAATAATGTTTCCCTTTGTTAACTATTTTTTTTGTTCAACTCTTCATATCTTCCCTTTCTTCCATGGTATCGTGTATTGATCATCCCTTATGTATATCACCTTTCCTTTTATAATTGCAAAATCTCTGGTCTACTGTAGGAGTTGTTTGGATGGAAGTCCTCTTCAATTTATGGGAATTATAAATGACATCTTTGTTACTTTATCATGTTAACGGCCAGTTCTATCTGTACATAATCAATTATTCATTTATTTACTTCTTTATTGGTTATAAAATATTGTCTCAAATTGAGTCTATTTGAGCTTTGGACCAACATGGTGAAACAGAATGGGGGCAAGAGGTGTAAGCTGTACCTTATTGATGAAATAATTGATCTAGGGGAGTTAAATGAGGTGCTCAAGGCCTAAATTGCTTATATAGCAGGGATAGCACTAAAATCTAGATTTTTTTTTGGCAGTTTTTTTTTCTTTAATTTTATTTTTTTTAATAATTTTAATGAACATTTACAGAGAATTTGGATTTCCATTCATTCATTGCTGCACTTCTCTCCCCGCCCAGCCCTCTCCCCCCACCCCCCAGTTTGCTCCTCTCTTTCAAAAGTAAAAGAAAGACTTCCTCCCTGGTACACAATCTCCCCGCACCTCTCCTACTGCCCCAAGTACATTCCACTATGCAACCTTAATTGTGAACTCTTGTGATAACCATAATACCCTATCATACATTGCTTTTAAATTATTCAGTCCCTCATCTGTTTCAGTGCTTTATACACAATTTATCTGGTTTTCTCTGTCTTACCCCCACCCTGATATCAGCCCCATTTTACAGCAGTGGCACCATGCAATATTTGTCCTTTTCCGACTGAGATATTTCACTCAGCATAATGTCCTCCTGGGTCACCCATTTTGAATAATATTGAATGAGTTCCTTTTTTTTCAGTGCAGCATAGTATTCCATTGTGTGAATATACCACAGCTTCTCTACCCATTTGTTTGTTGATGGGCACCTGGTTGTTTCCACCTCCTTGCTATTGTGAACAGAGATGCGATAAACATGGGTGTGCATATAAAATCTAGATTTTTATGCTCATTTTGTAGTACTTCTCTGTGTTCCTCAGTATGATATAGGAAAATACTTCCCTATGTTTTTCACTCATTAGTGATGTTTGACAAGGCCTATATGACATGGTTTTCTTAGTTCCATTAGAATTGCCATGGCCATTTTGTAGTTTCCTAGCTTCTTATTAAACAACAGTGGAATTTGGTAATATTGAAAATGAGTTGTTTCCCTCTTGGCTGGATTCCCTAGAAGAGCAAAACCAGTGAAGTATACATATATCTATATGTCTATATTTCTATCTGTTCATCTGTCTGTCTAAAGTTTTTAAGTGCTAGTAAGTCAACTATGACTCCTAGTGATCCTATGAACAGCTGATTAGAACCTCCCTCTATACTGTGCCATCCTCAGTATATCCTCCTTGCTTGAGCCTCATTGTTATACTCGCTGGTCAGCCTGCCTCATTGAGGATCATCTTCTCTTTAGGTGACCCCTCTCTACCTTTCCTGGCATGATGTCTCTTTCTGAGGATTGGCCTCATCTAACAAATATACATCATCGTTATTTCAAAGAAATAGCTCATTATGTTGTGAAGGCTGGCAAGTCCTAAATCCGTGGATTGGCTATCAGGCTAGGGAATTTTATGACTTACATGAAGAAAGGGTTGAGAAATCCAAAGTCACAAAGTTAGATAGCAGGTTACTAGCTTATGAAACTGACTCACATTCTAGGAATCAGTGGTCAGAGAATGGTGAGTCAGGATCAAAAGAGTGATGTTTGCCATTATGTTCATAGGAATTCATTCTGAATGCATGCTACACTCCTAAGGAAATTGGTTAATCATTTTTCAGCTGATTAATTTTCCACTGACAGATTTTTCAACTGATTGACAGCTCATATCAGATAAAAAAAATTAGAGGGTGATAACATTCTATTACATTGTGAAAGAATAATAATATTCATTGTTTGCCAGTCACTGAAAATCATAGCCTGGTAAACTTGATGTATAACATTAACTGGAAATATACCCAAGTTTCTGATTTTGTCTACAGTTTTGCTCTTCAGTATTTACATATGTGGTGCTAATGGTTTCCCTCCCCCCTTTCTAAGTAGACTATTACCATTTTAAAAAGATATATCTGATACCTTAGTGTTTAGAAACTGAGAGAACCTCAAGATTGTGTCCACTAGGGTTGAAGAAGTTCTTCCTTAATCTTTGAATGCTAATAATATATCTATATATTTACATATA